TCCTTGGTTGCACCAGGGTGAAAAACCATTCTCTGTTTTGGATTTGTAATATGAGTTTTTGTAAACTTCTATTCTTACATCATCATTCCCATTGAAAAAGTGCAGCAGATTTATTTTAGCCTACAATTCTGATTTTGGGGACATGGGGAAATCAAACCAGTAAAAAGGCCCACAAAATTAAACTGTAATTTGGGGAATGTAATATTAGGGGCAGCCTACAACAAACAGTCCCATGCATTTCTTTTTCAAATACTTGAACCTGTGTGGGAATAAAAAAGGGCTTTACAAACCTGTGGCATGACATTTACACATCCTTTTGCAAATACTTAACTTTCTAGAGCAAAAAATATTGAATGACAGAGGTTCTCAATTTACATCAATCAGGGTAATTCTGATTCCTTCTCTGTCTGGAAAAGAATACCAGAGAACAGCAAAATGCTTGGAGACATTGGGGGCTGTGCAATGCAGAAGTAGCCATTTAGCATGAGTGAATTGAGTCTATTAGATGTAATGCAACTTGCATCCAGTAATGAGGTGATTTTGAAAAGAAAAACCCATTCATTTTTCAGTCTCAGATCTACTTGTTCTAAATTGAGAGAATGAAGCATCTCACACAGCATCTGGTGCTAGAAATGACTGTCATTATCTGAAAGGTTGTGCTTTTTGGTTGAGGATAGGTAGAGGCTAAATTAGAATCATGAAGAAACCAGGGATGTACCAGAATTGAGATCTAGCTAGCTCCCAGAAGTATTCCACAGGGATATTGGAAACAGCCAGAGAGGTGCCGACCTGTCGCCAGCATGTGCTTATGCTGAGGAGCAATGTGGTTTTCTGTGGGTCTGCTGGCAAACGCTGGCTGCAGGTGTCATGCAGCAGGGACACGGCACCATCAGCGTGTTGTCATTCAGCGCAGAGCGTGCCTGGGCACCTGAGGCGCAGTGTTGGTGTGCAGGGTGTACGTGAAGGTGTGGCTGCAGCTGGGCTGGCCTCATCAAACTGCCTCTTGGGTCGGGTGTCTGGCCAGCTCTTAACTCCAAAAATGGGGATCCTGGTGGGAGACTTAGCTGCCAACTCCCCGTTGGGAGGTGCATTTCTGGCAGCTGAACAAGAGTCTGTGACCAGCATCCCTGACCACTGTGTGTCCCTGATGCCTTCACTGGCCTCTCTTGTGCAGGAGGGTGATAGTGCAGGCAGTGGTGCTGTATGCCTGCAGAACAACAGGAGGTTGTCCAGGGCAGGTGAATTCTGAGGAAAAAATGCATGTCTTTTCTGAAAGAAGGCAGTATGCAAGAATTTAACAGTCCAGTCTTTCACTAGTTTTACTTTTTAGAGTGTTTTCATAGTTCTGTGACACAGCTGGAGATAGATTACAGCTCTTCAGTTAATACTGTGTAAAAAAGTCCCTCATTCCATGTGCTGTTTTGTTCTCCCTTTTGCTAAAACTCCTCTGTTAAACAACTTTGAGTTTGATTGTTAGGTCCACACAGTACAGTTTTCAGTGTTTAATAACTGGTTTTATGGCTCCCTTGTAAATAATCAAATTATTGTATTCTCTACAAGAACCAGGAGTAAACATGCTCTGATGGCAACAGCTGTAGAGAAACCTGGCTGAATACCAATAGAAGAGCAAGAGCAAAACTGTTTCTTGAATAACTGTTCAAATATATTGCTATAAATAATGAATAGCTGCCCTGACAAAACATAATGCTGTTGAAAATAGAGATAAGATGATGTGATGGATCAATATCTATTTTAAGTGGTATTTCTTTTACCTGTCAGCAAATCTTCTCTATCTTTAAATGATCTGCATTGCTTCTCTTTCTAGGCAGTCCTAGGCTTGTGAACTCACTGCTCCAGCAGTCACCTACTCAGGAAAATTAGCTTTTGAATTCACAACAGCTCTTCATTTGGTTGTTCTGGCAATTTTCAAAAGTAATTAATTTTGTACTTGGTTTTTTATGTTTCTCACATTCTTAATAAGCAATGAGAGATTTGAGAGAGAATATGAATCTCTAATTTTATTTTAAGGAATTTTTTTAGTGGTGCTCTTGTACTTTCACTTCTTTTGTCATTCAAATATATACATAAGGCAATTTCAGTCATAAAAAGCTCTCAGTGTCACGTTCTGCCACTTTGGCATCACGATAAATATTACTTCAGTCAAGGAATAATATTGATTCTAAAGGGACTGCTCACCGAAGTAATTGCTAGTAGTCATGGAGAAGAACAGCAGGCTCTGGCTGTAAACCTTTGACTTGCACACAATTCCCTGGAAGTGTAGATGATCTCCAACATGACTGAGGAGTGTGAAGCCAGCTCTGTAGCTCCTTTCTCTACTGTGATTTACTGCACCTTTTTATGGGGTCTCTTAAGGCTATATAGTGAAAGGCCAGCACACTCATTAGGTGATTTAAGCTATCTCAGTGAGTGGAAAATGTTGGTTTGGAGATTTTAGATCATCAATAAATTGTTCATGTGTGAAATGAAAAGCCACCTTGAGGTCAGCTTCCAGTAAATTCATCTTGAGTTCAGGCAATTTGGAAACACCTGGCTTAGCCCACTAATTATTTGATTGACTGCTATGACTTGAAAAACAAGATAGAGGTATCAGACAATAATGGCTTAATCAGAACTTTTAAACACTGCTGCTTTTTCAAATAAAGAGATCAGGATCTATAGCAAATGCAGCTGCCACAGGGCAGCACAGCCCACAACTCTGCAGTGACAGAAGTCCACAGTCTTCTCGAGCTGATGAATTGCATGCCAAGATCTTTAGACAACCAGATTAATAAGACATGAACTTCCACACTGGAGAGCCAAGGGAGGTTGAAACTGAGGTTGAAGGGTGATGACGCTGACAGTGTTTTTCCTAGGGTTTCAGCAAGATGGAGCTGGTTGCAGGGAGAACTCAGCAGGTTCTTAAAATCAGCCAGTACCGTCAACCTCAGCCACATTTGTGTGCTCCCTTTCACCCCATGCTGAGGATTCCAATTCCACAGCAATCCCTAAGGCAGTGCTGGCTCATCTCTGATTGCATGAGACATGAGCTAAGGCGAGATTAAAGGACTATGTCCGAAAGCAATGTGATTCTTCTGCTTTTAAGTTGTACTTTTTGCCAATTCTCCAAGAGTTCTTACTTCCAAGTGGGTGATATTGCTTTGACCTGTGCATCCCAGCTGTGGGCTTATATGGTTTAGTCTCCTACTTGCCCAATATAAATTCTTTTGAGAATATTGCAGCCCTGCATCCCCTGGAAGCGCTATTCCCATTGTACTGTTCTTAACCTAACACAATCTAAAGAGTCCATTTATCAAGTGAGTTAGTGATGCCTTACAAATTTGTGAAAATGGCATCTAGGTGATGCAGATTTTGTATGAGCAAAAGGTACAGATGACCAAAATTATATCCATACACAAACTGTATGGATATAATTTTGGTCATCTGTACCTGGGCATTTCAGGAATCCCTGTTGTAAAGGAGCATTTAATGACTAGTTAATAACAAAAGGGCTCCACATTCTTAACTGAATCCCTTTTCCATGTGCTCTATCAATAGAAGAATGCTGTTCTGTCAGTTTTCAATAAATGTTTTTAATCTGTTGTTGTTATTAACTATAACTTAATACTGTTGTAAATTAAAATCAACATATAGGATGTTTCAAAGGGTTCCTCTTGTGTCTTTCCTTGAGAAATGACAGAGACATGAGAAGTATGCATTACATTACATTATATTACATTACATTACATTACATTAAAAAGCAGAGCCAGATAGTGCATGTTAGGTTCACCTTATACCCTGCAGGAGCCCACTCTTTCAAACTCAGGGTGCAGAGTCCTCAACATCACAAAGTCTTCTAATCTGGGAGAGATTAGAGACTGTCAGCATCTCTCCCTCATCTGATGGCACTGAGGGTAGCAAACCATGGGGAGCACTTTGCCAAGTGTACAGTTGGTTTTACAGGGCTTCATCTCACCTGGCTCACAGCACTGCACCCTTCAGATGTGACCCCAGAAGAAGCCAGTGACTTCTCAGAAGTGTGTTCCAACAGTACACTGACTGGTCCCTGGTGGATATACACTCCACATTCTTTTCAAGTCCTGTTGCTCTCTCCAGAGTGACTTGGGCAGGAAGCTCGTGGTGTGTGGGGCTGTTCTAGCCCTGCAGTTGCTGTCAGAGCTGCAGCACAGAGGGCAGGGGTCTCAACATGTCCAACCTGCACAGCCTTTTTCCCCAAGCCCTCCATACCACCACTGCTTGTGCCAGAACTGTGCTCCTGCATTGCACCATGTACGGTCCTGCTGAGAGAGAATTAATAGTGCTTAATGAATGAAGCACTGTGGGAGGTAGAATGAAGTCTGAAGCTATGCCTTCAATGATGAAGACATTGTGCTGTCTGTGCTGCAGCTGGCACACTCACTGAGCTCTGCTGTGCTCTGCTCTGTCCAGGCTGGAAACCCCAACAAGGATGGGGCCAAGGCAGCACACCCCAGCCCTTACACAGGTCCTCTGAACCTCTGATTCTGTTGTGGCATAAGCTATTTGGGATACTAAAAGATTTCTGATCATTCATAGGTTAGTTACTAACTTACTATAGCTGCCTTTATCTATTGATGTGAAATACTACCATGTAGTAAAGCTCCAAAGATTTATGTAAGTCAAGAGGAAGATGACTTTTTACCATATCCCTATGGAAGCACTGCTGCTTTATTAAGTAAGTTGATTTGGAAGAAATCACCATTGAATTTAACTCTTGCAGCTCACCTGCTGCAAGAGTTTTCTCTTGAAAGATTTAAACTTTTCTAGTAGGCTTGTTGGTCTGTCAACTCAGCATCAAGAATTTCTGCCTTTTTATTAGTGTATGGCAGTCATCCTGACACACTGATCTAAAGTGGATTGCAGCAGTGGGAACCATCATTTCAGAATACTAGAAAAACTAGTGTAATTGTTTTACTGAAAGAATTATACTGAAAAGATTGCTAAATCTGTTTTTCTCTTCTCAGTTGGTTGCCTCTATCGTGTTTATCAGCTTTGGTGCCATAGCAGCCTTCTGTTGTGCAATAGTTGATGGAGTGTTTGCAGCACGACACATAGTAAGTACAGTGATTTTGTCATCTTTCAATTTTGATTATTTATGTCATTTCTAGCAGGAGCGTATTTTCTTCTGGTTTATGTTTAGCAGTATATTAGGGTTTTTGATAGTTCCTGGTGGAGATTCCAAATAGAAAGGTGATATAAAATGTTGTCATGAAAGGCATGCTAAAAGGTGTACCTGCTTAGAAAAGGAAGATATTTCAACCACTACCAGCATTTCTTTCCTATTGCTTTGTGGGCACAGTAGGGATTTGGAATGCACCAAATGATGAGAACCATCACCTGATGGGATTTGAATATGGTCGTTTATATGTTAGAAATGTGTTGTTTGCTGTTCTATCTTTTGTGATAGAATACCTTAAAAATCTAAACCTTAATTGAGCTTTGATTTGCAAAATCGTCAGGAAATAAGTAGTCATATGTGTTAACAGACATTAGAGGTCAGATGTAGCATGCTAAATAATACAGCATGATGGTATACGAGCCTCTCTGTGCAATGAAATACCATGAGGCTGCTAACCTTTCTGCTTATGTTCATTGAGGGGCAGCATAGCTCCACTAGCATCAGTGAGACCCTATTGAATTTCTGTTAGCAAATACCTCAGAATAATTAGGCTTTCGATCACCTGGAGCATAAAGTTACAAACTGATTTATATTTCACTGTTACTGAGGAGTAACAGTGTGGGTACTGAGGAGAAACCAAATGTGGATTTCAGAGCTCCGTATGCATTGCACAAGACAAAAGACATCTATTGGTGTAAACAATTGAGGTGTGCAATGTGAGCATGGACAAATGCTCTGAATTGTAGCCATGTTTTGTGGAATACAGATCCTGCATGATGCCAAAATGGCCTGCTTTTTCTTGGATTTACCCTGCAGCTGGTCTGGATGACACCTGGTTGAACTGTATCTGATTAGCATAGGCCAAGGGAGCTGCCCCATGGGAGCTGCTTAAAAGAGGAGGGGAGCAAATTCCTACTTAGATTCCCTGCTCCAGAACATTCAGTGGTTGTGCCCTGGAAAACCACTGACACTTACTGAAATTTTGGATCTGTCCTGGAGAGGCTGAGGCGTTGTTTAGTCTGGAGAAGCAGAGGTTATTTATCTGAAAGGTGGTTATAGTGAGGTGCAGGTCAGTCTCTTCTACTATGTCCCACTTGAAAGTTTGAGAAGAGCTGGCCTAAGGTTGTGCCAGGAGGGGTTCAGATTGTATATTGAGAGAGTAGTTAAGCATTGGAGAAAGTTGCTCAGGAAGATGGTAGAGTCACCATTTCTGGAAGTGTTCAAGAAGCATCTGGATGTGTCACTTAGGGATATGGTGTAAAGGTGATTTAGGGTTGATGGTTGGACTGTATGATCCTGAAGGTCTCTTCCAACCTTTGATGATTCTGTGATTCTGTAATTCTCCAGGAACCTGGCTTATTTCTGTTCTGCTTTAATGTGATCATTAGGAGTGTTCAGATGGCACTTGTACAGTCTTGCATGTTGTAACTGCAGTGCAGCTGTGCAGCCACAGCACCCCACTGCTGAGGGTAGACACAGCTTCTCTGAGATGAGGTACTGTGTCAGGGGACTGTGTATGCTCAGTCTCAAGCACAGACACAGGCGTCGCTCCTCGCACCTTTCCAGGTGTTTTCAGTAGGAGAACACCAAGGCACAAAGTCATTGCACCCACCCAAGAAAAAAAGCATCTTACAGTCTGGGGGGTGCAGTTCTGTATCTGGTTAAGTCAGTGACTGGATATGACTGCATCCCCTGTGCAGAGCTGGAGGCTGGAAGGGGCTGGTCATCCATTCCAGGAGTGCTGGAGATGTACAACCCAGTAACATGATCCTGCTTCAGGCACATCGTGACTGGAAATCATGCCTTCATGGAAATCCGTGGCCAATTGTTTACATTTGGGCTTAGCTCTGATTGCACATCTGTATTTTGCTGTCTCCTTCACCTATGACAGAGCAAAGAAATACTAAGTAGCACCATTTTTTGGAAAACTAATTTGCATTTCAGCATGATCACACTCATTTCAACTCATTCTCTTCTGTCTAATAAGGAACTTGATAGGGTCAGGTGAAGTAAAAGTGTACATCACCACGTTTCTCTAACACACCAGGGAAAGTCTGTAGGGATGATAGTGTGCGTGTGCTCCCAGTTTAATTTACAGTAATGGTGGGGCCTTATCAAAAGAACATGTGCCATACAGACTGCGGCATCACTGCCACAGTGTTACATCCTGTTTGCATCACAGCTCATTTCCTTCAGGAAGAGCAGCAACACCATGTTCAGTCTCCTCCCTACAGGCAGTTCCAGCCTTTTTCAGATCTGGCTTGTGCTGTTGCCATTTTGTCCACTGCCTTTGGGGCATAACTGCTGAAGAGTTGGAGTAAACTGTCCTCCAGTCAGGGAAAGAACAAATTCCTGCCATGTCAGAGTAGGTGCCTATGCTAAAGCCATCCACTTTTTGTGAGAAATGGTAGCTGAAGCCAAGCAGTCGTCAGACTGATTACAAATTCGGCATCTTTCACATCAATTTGGAATAAGAAATGTGTCCCCCACTTTTTGCTTTCTTTTTAGCTTCATTTGAGCTGGGCAGGATATGAAGAGGACAAATCACATAATTACAGATTTTTCTTACTATGTGCCTGCAGTGGAATGAAGATAATTATTGTTGCACATTTTCTCCTGCTTTTATAAAACTGTGAATAGAATAATAAAATAGATTTCTCTGGTTTATTTCCTTCCCAAAAGGGCATGAAATTGACAACAATTCTTCCAGGAAATGGATGTATTTCAGAAAAGAGATGCTTACATTATTTAAGACTTACTTTGCTTTATAGAAAGCTCTGGATCACACCACTTATAAAATTAAAAACACTGAAGGAAATGTAGCTTAATTTAAAAAGCAGTAGCTTACCTAATAAATAATGCAGATATAATTCACCTTAAAAAGAAAAAAACAAGCAAACCAGAATAAAGTAAAATAAATCAAAGTTGAAATTAAAGTGCAGTGATGTTATTTCAGAAAAATATGGTGGTTAAAGGAACTGATGTGCATTTGTGTTTGCTTGAGGCATTTTGTTATTTAGCAGATGAGAATAGTCCAGTTTTTCTTTTTGAGGTCATTCAACAACGTCCTCTCACCACACAGGGAGATGCCCTGTTCCACCACAGGTTCGCATTCTCTGCAGTAGCTATGACCTCCTATTCATGGCTCTAAGCCTTGACCATTGCCACATGATCTGTAGCTTTGCTGTTGTGCTCCATGAAGAACCTAATATTGCCAACAGCAAGAAGTCCAGGTGTGAAGTGAGGAAACTGCCTTTTCCAACCAAGTTTATTCTGTGATTCTGTGAAGGAAAAGCTGGGTGCTATGGAAGGTTGCTTGTCCATTTTGACATCTAAAATGCACACCAAACCAAGCAGTGTTAAGTTGTTCCCCTCCTCTTCTGTAAAGCCTCCTTTTCTGCTGTGTAATGTTGACTTAATTTTCAGCTGATCTCATTTCTTCCTCTTGATAGTGATGGCTTAAGGAGTTAATTAAAAGAGAATATATCATCAGGTGATAAGCCCTGAAATGAACCTGAGAACTAACTTAGCTGAGCTAGAGGATACTGAAACACTCCTAGATTCGGATCTTCACCCATATGGTTTAAGTGCAGCTAGTGGACTGCTGAAGTATATCATCTGGGTAATTACCTACTGATCTGGGAGTTTAAAAATTGAACTTGAAATATTTGCTTTCTCTTTATATATGTTAACTCAAAATACTGTTTGATAAGATGGGCATTATGTAAATTCACTTTCTGTAAGGCACAGACAAAAGGCAATGGGAAAATGGAGTCTTTAATGAGGGGGATGCTCATGCAAATTGAGCTCTGGTTGGTAGAACTCCAAAGCTGCTGTATTAAGTAATGTAAATTGGCAGCCCTGACCTAATGAACAGATAGCTACATTATAAACACGTTCTGCGAGATGAAGATCTACTGATTTCTCTGCTAAGAGCAGAGACGCAGAGACCCCTGCCCAGCAGTGACCCCTGCCCAGCAGAGACCTGTGGGCTCCCAGCAGAGACCTGTGGGCTCCCAGCAGAGACCTGTGGGCTCCCAGCAGTGGCTGTGGGCTCCCAGCAGAGACCTTTGGGCTCCCAGCTGCTCCCCGAGGCCTGTGCTGCTGCGCGTGTGCCCTCAGAGCCGGCAGCCACACGCAGTGGTTGCACGTGCAGTGACCGAGGATGTCAATCCCCTTCCCATCCCCGGAACTTCTCATGCCGGTTACAGACACTCGGGCAAGGATGGCAGCAGGGGTGGCCACCCGCTACATTTTACTACAGGGAGGCTTCATATGCCCATGGTATGTAACATAGGCCACAGTCTTGCACACTATAGGCCAGATCCTCTAAAAAGCCATTTGAAAATTTTCTGAGCAAGCCTGTTGGCTTTCCCATTGAAGAAAAAAAACCAGTTTCATTCCATGTCTAACACAAAGAATAATTTCTCACTGGAATTAAATTAGGTAGAGTCTCTGGAGAACAACACTAAATGCATTTTGTGTTCTCCATATTGCCACATAAGACAAAATTACACCTAATTACTTTTAATTCCATTTCCATCGTGTATGACTCATTAATATAATTGCATGGCATAGCTCATACCATGAAAAGCATCAAAAGCAGCATGTCCAGCAGGTCAGGGGAGGTGATCTGCCTCTCTGCTCTGCTCGGGTGAGACCCCACCTGGAGTGCTGCATCCAGCTGTAGAGTCCTCATCGGGAGAGAAAGGACATGGATCCCTTGGAGCAAGCCCAGAGAAGTGCACAAAGATGATCAGAGAGATGGAGCACCATTCCTATAAAGACAGGCTGAGATAGCTGGGGTTGTTTAGCCTGGAGAGGAGAAGGCTTCATGGAAACCAGACTGGGGCTATCCAGTACCTAAAGGGGCCTATAAGAAAGATAGGGACAAAATTTTTAGCAGGGCCTGTTGTGATAGGACAAAGTTTTAAA